AAATGGGGAGAGGATATTGTGGTGGCTTCTGCAAAACATAGGAGATGATATGAGAAAAAATATGAACTCTTTCAAATTAATGTAAAAAAACATATTTACCATATACCATACCCCAGTTGCGCAAGCACCCCACAATGAGTTCTTTGTTTTTTTGGATCATCTAAAGGACTTTTAGCATTCCTGAAACGATTGAAGCCACTGATTCCTTGACATGGAGGTCCACCACAATTAACAATATAAGATATATAATTTAAAATCAGAGTACAAGCTATGTAAACTCAGTAGAATATTTGACAGGTAGCCATGCATGACAAAGTTCTTTATAGCTTCCCGACTATTACTATCCAAATAACATAATTGTTAGACACGGTTTACAGGTTATGGGGGAGGCGGGAGGGGGGAAATCAAACAGCAGCGTACAAATAGAACAAGTACGATGAGAAGTCTGCTTGCATGCCTCAAACCACTAATTGGTTCCCAAGTATCATAATCAGGTCAATAATTCTTCTTGGGGTCCGTAGCAGATGTCCAATATTTTCTCCACTTCAAACACTTCAGAAACACCTTTTTCGTCGTCATTATCATTATCATCACTGTCATCTTCATCATCCATATCAAAACAGTATGTTTGTTTCTTTTCTGGGTCATCATTTTTCACGAGAGAAAACCTTATGCAGAGTTTTTCCCACTCTTTCAGTAACACAAAGAAGTCTTCAGCAGCTTCATTTCTCACCTGATCCACAAAGGCGACCCGGTTAAAGTTCAACGTATTGAATAGGATGACGTGACAAAAGAACGAGTAAAAATTAAATACAAAATGGACAACCTGTGTCTCCGGATGATTCAACCTCAAACTTTGACAAGCGTTCATATTCAAGTCAACAGCCCATATTTCTGCAATTACCAAAGAAAAATTGGAGATGTCAATTTCACATTAAAGTCCAAAATAAGAAATTAAACCCGCAAATGTGACTAAATATGTAAAGAAACAATTGTGCCTGTAGCAATCAAATTACGCAACTATGAAAAGAAGAAAAGAGAAACTGACGGTGACCAGAGTTAAACCAAGGCAAAGACCAGTTGACATTGCTCCACAGCCAGAATACAAGTCCAGTAAAGCAACCTCTGATTTACTACTGCCACTGGTTCCACAAACTTCGTCACTCTCAGACTTCACCCCAGCATCATGAATATCATTGGATATCGTTGAACTCTCGGGTCCAGTTGTATTGTTTTCTACAAGTCAAAAATAATAAGATAACAACTTGCAGAGGACTCGGATTTAAATTAGTTTACCCATGAAAGGGAAATATTCTAACCTGTTGGTAACTTGACAAAGGTAGAATATAGAAGAAAATAAAGCATGACACAATAGAAATCACAACCAGAGGACCTTGCTCGTTTATTCTCCGGATCCACCTGAAATGCAACTCCGAACTTTACCCGTTTTGTGAAAAAACAAAAAAAAAAAGAGACCAGAAGAGTAGTATCCATACATCGAGTGCCAATCTAACAATGTTCAGCTTCCATGTAAGACACTCCAAGGGATTGGCATTTCGAATCTCAGAAAAGAAAACACACTTTGGATCCGAAATGTACTTATTTTTAATGATCTGTTGCAGAACAGTATAGTTTTACAATTAGCTTTATATCACACCAAAAGTGAACCCTCAAAAAAATAATACCATCAACCATCAAATATTCCTTCATTTAACATACCGTGTCAGGGGATCGATAGTACCATTGAGTAGTAAAATATAGGGTCCTGTCTACAGACTCAAACATCTCACTTATCCTGCATAAATAGTCTGGTTCTCCGTCAGAAGCCTAAACACGAAAAAGAAAATCATTTAGGTGAAGTTAAAACTGTTTATATATATATATATATATATATCAAAATTCAAGAAACCAAGAGAAGATGAAAATTCACTTGGACATAAGCATCATAATAGAGATCATAGATGATCCTATCAACATCTGCCCGTGTGTAGTGACATCTAGCTATATACGATCTCTTCGGAATCATCCGAGGTACAACAATTTCAATAAAATGAGAAGATATAAACTAGAACTCACCAATGCATAGAAGGAAAAGAGAAGTGATGAGAGAACGGTAAGCTGTACAATTAAGCACATAGATTACTAGTTTGTACTTTTCGAACTTGATGCTTTTGTCTGCATCTGGGAGAACAAAAAGGGAAGGTAATGCTTTGTTCTGCATCTGGGAGGACAAAAAGGGAAGGTAAACACAAAAGTTAAGGTAATTTCAACCATAACTTCTAAGAAACTAACATTCAGTTCTCAGTAAAAAATTAATACACACACACATATTTAATAAACTGTTGTAAAAAAAAACTATCATTTAATAAAACCATCACATCACATTGCATTCATTTATAAGAAAGGCATAGAATCCCCTCCCGGAAAACCCAATTAATCAACATTAATTGTTTTTCCAAATTAATTACTCAATAAAGGACCCAAATATCTCCAATTTCTATAAACATTCAAAACTATTGAAGATACCCAGAATCAATAAATTAACTTTGTTATTCTCATAAACCCAAATTCAATATACACTAAACACACCCTTATATTAAGTCTTTTAAATCAAATCCTCTGTTCTCGTGCTATGCATTCATTTATAAGAAAGGCATAGAATAGACTCAAAAACACGCTGTACTTAGTCAACGACTTAAACAACAACAGACTCAAAAACACCATTATCATGAAACTAAAATCAACATCAAGCCAAATTGTCCTTCTAAACTCCATTCCAAAACCAAATAGAATATTGCTAATTTCTCTTGTCATGCAAAATCCACTTAAAACATTATAAACAAGCAGAATTAACAAAAAAAAACTACATAATTACACTAAAACACAGTCCCCGTGCCGATTTCTTTCATATGTTAATACACGAAAAGAAAAAAGAAAAACAAAGAGCCCCTTCTATGAATAATTTTTTTTTTAACTTATTTGAACAAAAGTATAGAAAAGCATATGTTTTTCATAAAATTGTATCATTTTCACACAAAAAAAATCAAAAACAAAGAGAGCTACAGATAAAAAAAGGAGCAGAAAGTTACCTTATTAGCATATCGATGAGGCCACTTCTTTCTGGCTTCAGCACCAGGAATCTGAGCTCCGACAAACCTCGCCAGCGTTTCATCCTCCTTAACCTTCATAGGCGTCGATATCTTCTTCTCAGCTTTACCAGATCCACGCTTCTCCTTCGTGTCAGGTCTAGAATCAGCATTACCAGTCCCCATCCTATCTCCGACTTCATCCACTGAGTTCGTGTCATCCTCATCTCCTTCCAAAACAAACACCTCCTCTTCCTCTTCCTTCTCTACTTCTCTCAACCAAATACGTTTCGGCGTCGCCGCCGTCTTCTTTTGCTTAATTGAAGAAGAAGTAGACGCTGCCGCTTCTGGTTTTGTCGTCGTGCTGCGATGTCGTTTTCGCGGCACGGTGGTGCTGGAGAAGGAGAAGGGAAGGGGGCGCGGTTTGAAGTTTGAATGGAGATGGGGGGCGGGGCGCGGGTCCGAAGAGTTAGGGAGGGATTTAAGGGGCTTTGGTTGTTTTTGAACGTTGGTGGAATTATTGATGTAAATATTTATTTTCCATAATGAAATAATAAATTTAAATTTATAAAGAAATTAAAACTATTAAGTTAAGTAATAAATTTGTCAACAAATTACATAATATAATAATAAAACCACTTTCATACATATTATTTTTCCAAATATAAGTCTATTAACAATTGTATTATTCATCGCAAGAAATTTATAATATCAAGAAAATAATTATTTATATTTACTTTCAAGAGTGTAAAGGTCAACTTATTTTAAATTTTTTTAATAAAAACATATTATATTAATATTTTTCAATAATGTTTTATGTAAAAATATCATAAATAAATAAATATATTTTTACAAGAATATTATACACTACATTATCAAAAACATACTAAAAAAATATAAATACATTACTAAACTCATACTAAAAATATATTTTTTATTTTAATAATTTAAGTAATGTATTTTTTATCATATTTATATTCCATTGAATATCATTAAATATTGTAAGCAAAACAACCGTAATTGCCAGTAAACTTTATGAATAAGATTAATTAAATACAAATATATCATCTCATAAAACTCATCGCTTGCCACCAAGCCTCATGAACGGCAATAATTAAAAATAGATATATCAAATCATTAAATATTTCGTTTGCCGTCTGAGATCCGAACCTACCCTAGGAGGCTCATTCCAACTAACCGAACCGTGGCTCAAAAGCTTACACGGTCGAGTCCATACCAAACAAGCAAACCACCACCGAACCAAAACTTCCTTCCCATTCGTTTCCACCATTTCCTTTTTTCTCGCAGCCCCCCACCCACCCCTCTCTCTTTCCGCTTTTCTCCCAATCAAACCCTAACCCTAAAAAAATCCCCAATTTCAAAACTCTAATTTTTCTCATTTTTTCATCAAATTGACCCTCAATTTCGCAATCTAAACCCTATAAAACCCTACTCAGTCCTTTTTTCAAAGCAAGCCATGGAGTCTAGCTCGATTTCACTATAATGATAATCAAAATAGTGGTGCTAGGGTTTTTAAGGGACGGATTGCATGGGCTTAATCAGCAATGCCTGAGCTTAGAAGAAATCGCGCAAGGTTAGCGCGAAATCAACAACAACAGAAGCAAACAGACCCTCCAGTTGCGAGGACTTACGTGAAGACCCGTGCTGCTGTAGCTAGAGAAGCGAAGAAGAGACCGAGGACAAGATTGGAAGCGAAAAGGTTGAAAGAGAAGGAAGAAGAAGGTGATAATAGTAATAGAAGAGTTGAGGAGGAGGAGGAGGGTAAAAGGGTAATTTTGATATCAGAGAGTGATAAGAAGGGAAAGAATTTGCTAGTTGATATTGAAGAAGAAGAGAAAGTTGAAAGATTGAAAGGTCCAATGGCTGATGATAGTGGAGGTTTAAGTGCTAATAAAGCCGGTGGCCAAGAAGAGGAGGGGAACAATGCTCCTTTCCCTGATAAGGTATGCTTGTTTTGTTTTTGTTTTTTTTAATAATTTTCTGGCAAATTTGATGCTTTGTCATCTGGGTTTACTTTATTTTATTTTGTGATTTTGTTAATATATGGAGTTGGGGTCAAATTTTGGTCATTTCGGTTTAAAATGGGATGTTTTTGTGTGAAAATGTGGTTTTTATGGCGGGTTTCTGTTGTTGCTGTTGGAAGTTGTTGAATTAATGGTGATGTAGTGGTTTGTCAGCTGAATGAATGGTTTTTTTTTTTGGCGGGGATTTTGATTTTGTGTTGGTTGGATGCTATCTCAATCTGGTTGGTGGATTTTGCTGAAATATGGTTGCAAATGTTGGTCTTGATTAGTTGCTGTTGGTGATTTATGCTTGTAGCTACAAAAGGATGGTGTCATGGGGGCTTCATATGCATTTGATTTAGTATTTCTGTAATCTTGAGTGAAGTAAGATTTTCAATCTCACACTGTTTTTGGAAATGCTAAGAGCTTTTTTTTTGTTGTTGGTTGAGGACAGTTGCTGATTGTTCAGTACATGCATTTATTAGTTCAAGATTTTAAGTATACAAGCCTGTGCTGAAATTTGATGCTTTGTTTTCATGGCTTTGTTTTGTTGTTGCATGCATGGCATTATAAATCATGAAAAAAACACTTTGTTTACTTTGAAGTTGACTTTAATTGATTTTTCAACATGTTCAACTTCTAATATTGCCTTTTATTTTTGTGGTAATTATAGAGTGTTTATTATTTTCTTATCCAAGGTTCAAGTGGGAGGGTCGCCTTTATATAGGATAGAAAGGAAGTTGGGGAAAGGTGGTTTTGGTCAGGTGTTTGTTGGTCGTCGTGCTAATGGTGGAAATGAACGTGCGACGGGTTCTGGTGCCCTGGAGGTAAAATCAATCTAGCTATTATTTCATGATATTTCATACAAAAACTTAATCTTGCTTTAATTTTCTTTTTCCTTGTTTGTTTCCTCTAGGTGGCCCTGAAATTTGAGCACAGAAACAGCAAAGGCTGTAATTATGGCCCTCCGTATGAATGGCAAGTTTACAAGTGCGTAAATCTTCCCTCTAAACTAGGTTGTTGTTTTGGTTTTTTCAGATTTATCATAAATATTTAAGTTTTTCTGCAATTTGTTTTTGTTTGACAGCACACTTGGTGGTAGTCATGGTGTGCCAAGAGTACACTATAAAGGAAGGCAGGGAGACTATTATGTAATGGTATGATCTGCAAGCTCACTCTTTCTAATTTGTTCATTATATTTCCTGGTTTAACTTCAGCTCATGGGTTTTTCAGGTTATGGACATGTTGGGCCCTAGCCTCTGGGATGTATGGAATTCTTCTGGGCAGACGTGAGTATGTCGTGCATGTATACATGCCTCGCTCTCTCTCTCTCTCTCTCTCTCACACACACACACACAGTATTTTTGGTGTGTATGGACTGTTACATGCCTCTCTCTCCCTCTCCCTCTCTCTCGGTATTTTTGGTGTGTATGGACAGTGTTGATTTAGATGTTCTTTTCCTTGGAATTGGTTTGGGTGGTAAATCTCTTGAAGTTATTTTTATGCTCACCACAAATCATGTTATGTCAACTGATATTGTTTCTATTTTTTCTCCCTGTATGCATTATTTTATCCAATTGGTTTGTTCTTTATTGCCAAAAATACTGAGGAAGAGTAGGGTGTTTCTTTTATTGCTAAGCTGACATTTTTTCCCGCGAGACACATAATGTCTTGATTTGCTTTCCTTGTTCTACGTGTTGATTGGTTGTCATTCCTTTTTTATGTAGGATGTCCTCAGAAATGGTAGCTTGTATTGCAGCTGAGTCTCTCTCAATTTTGGAGAAGATGCACTCAAGAGGGTATGCTATTTAGTTGTGTATCAAATTGTTTTCTTGGTAAACTTATGGTCATAAGGATATTCATTTGGTAGCTTTATTAATTCTTCATTCCACTTTTTCTGTGAAAAACTTAAGAATTATGCAACCTTGTTTGATTTTAGCTATGTGCATGGAGATGTAAAGCCTGAAAACTTTTTACTTGGTCAGCCATCTACATCTCAAGAGAAGAAGTTATTTCTTGTTGACCTCGGATTAGGTGAGTCAAAGTCATTAATCATTAAAGTACTCTTATTGCTATTTTTTTTAAATCCCTTATGTTTTATCGTTATCCAAAATTGCAGCAACAAAGTGGAAAGACAGCAGTACTGGACAACATGTTGAATATGATCAGCGCCCTGATATGTTTAGGTGGGACTTAATCATATTTCTTGTTGAATCTTGTGGACAAAATGTGACCCTGACCATTATTATTCATGATACCTATCTGCTTGATTCTTTAGGGGAACAGTTCGATATGCTAGTGTTCATGCTCATTTGGGAAGAACTGCCAGTCGGAGAGATGATCTTGAATCTCTTGCTTATACACTCATCTTCCTTCACAAAGGCAGATTGCCATGGCAGGGCTACCAGGTACTTCAAGGATATACACACAAGCTCATGTACCATGAACATGAGTATATAAATACATGCAAAACAAACATGCTTGCAAAGGGTAGTTTGCCATCCTCATGCCTTTCTTTGTTAGAATGATATGTTAACTCTATTACTTTTTCTTGTTAACAAACCTTAGGGCGACAATAAGTCCTTCTTGGTTTGCAAAAAGAAGATGGCAACATCTCCAGAGATGCTGTGCTGCTTCTGTCCTCCTCCTCTTAAACAGTTTCTTGAAATCGTGGTGAATATGAAATTTGATGAGGAGCCCAACTATTCCAAATTAATATCTTTGTTTGAGAGCTTGATAGGACCAAATCCAGCTATAAGACCAATAAACACAGAGGGTGCTCAAAAGGTAGGGTAGAGCTCAAATCCACAAGGAAGTAATACTTTTATCTTTTCTCTTACTGTCTGAATAATTATATATCTTCTTGCAGATCATTTGTCAAGTTGGTCAAAAACGTGGTAGGCTGAATATTGAGGAGGAAGAAGATGATGGGCAACCTAAGAAGAAAGTCCGTCTTGGAGTTCCTGCTACGCAATGGATTTCTATTTACAACGCTAAGCCACCAATGAAACAGAGGTACGATGTTTTGATTCATTATTTCTCTTTCTTTTCCCTCTAAAAATTTGCAATGTTTTTTATGCTAATTTACCCTTCATTAATTTGAGGCAACGAGAAACCATGCAACTCTGGGTATTTAAATAAAGAGTTTTGGTTTTGTAACAGTGAAGTGGCTTCCTAAAAGGACTGCTACAAGCCTAACCAAGCAAAGATTTGAAGAAAATGATCGATAATTCATTTTTCTGTTTGAACAATCCTTTCATAACTCCATTGAGTCTCACACTTTGTATGGTCTTCTATACAGCCACCTGGTCTCAGATTAGGTGCTCTCTTGTTTGCCCATTGGTGCAAGGGTGATGCACTCCTGTGGTTTCTCCCCCTTCTCCCTCTCTCCCCTGTATTCTTAAAAAACTTGACACTGAGAATACTGGGCTCCATCCTTTATTCACTGCACAGATCTTCTGAGGAGATACCCTTTTGTCTTTTGAATGTGGTTTCCTGACCTTGACATGACCTGATGACATGTCTGTTCTTTACATAGGTACCATTATAATGTTGCTGATGGAAGGCTGGGTCAACATGTGGAGAGAGGAATTGCTGATGGTCTGCTTATAAGCTGTGTTGCATCTTCTTCCAATCTTTGGGCATTAATAATGGATGCTGGAACTAATTTTACAAGCCAAGTTTATGAACTATCACCTTTTTTCTTACACAAGGTAAACTACATGAACTTAAACACTACATGGAAATATGTTAAATGTGCATGTGTTACCATGCTAAGGTTTTCTTTTCCTAATCATGTAAGTAATTTATTATAGAAACAATAATCAAAATTGTTCCCAAATAATAGGAATGGATAATGGAACAATGGGAGAAGAACTATTACATCAGTTCCATCGCTGGTTCTAACAATGGAAGCTCTCTTGTGGTGATGTCCAAAGGTTGGTTTGCTTTATCTCATAAGTTGTGTATTACTGCATAACCTTTGTTAGTTTTTGGGCCACGATTTAACAGTTCGCAGCTATGGTTGTTTGCCTTTGAAATTGAGACTTGCTATGGTCAGGGTGTTGCTGGGGTGCAACTTTTAGCAAAATTTCCTTTTGGCAGCTAAAACAAAGTGATGTTTTAATTTATGTAGGCACTCAATACACTCAACAGTCTTACAAAGTAAGCGATTCTTTTCCCTTTAAGTGGATAAACAAGAAGTGGAGAGAAGGGTTTTATGTGACTTCAATGGCTACTGCTGGAACCCGCTGG